CCCCCCCCCCCTCCACTGGCCCGCGCCGCCTTGCACTTGAGGGTCCGGCGCCGGGGACTCCCTGACTCCCCCGCCTCCGGGCGCGCGGCGACCCCTGCAGCCCCGCCTTCCTCCCGGTAGCGGGAAGGGGCGCGGGTCTGCAGACGGAGAAAACGCCCCCGTCCTGTCTGCCTCTCACTCGCTCCCTGAGTCCCTAGGTTCGCCCGCGACCCTCTCGGATACTGATAATGCGGCCCACGCGCCGCAGCCAGCAGCCGGCACGCGGCGCCCCGCCCCGGGCGCAAACGCCCGGCGCCGGCGCCCCACCAACACCGGCCCCCGAGTCTGGGAGGGGCCGGAGCCGCCGAGGCGCAAGCGGGTCAGAGAAGGGGGCGCCGAGACGGGCGGAGGGCATTCGGTTGGGAAGGGAAGAGCGCGGAATCCCGGGGAGGGGCGGCGCGGCGGCCCGCGGCGCGGGCCCAGCCGGGATGCCGGGGAAGGGGACGCTGGGGTCTCGGGGGAGAACGCCGGGGATCCTCGCTCCTGGGGAGTGGGGGCGGGGTGGAGCACGTCCCGGCGGCGCCGCCGAGAATGGGCACCTGGGGGCTCCTGGGGGAGGGGAGACCGCTCAGAGGAGTGGGTCGGGAAGTTGGCCGGAAGGCTCCAGGGGTGATGAACGGATAAAGGGGACAAGGGCTGAAGTGGTGGCTACGGGCACAGGTGGGAGAGGGAAGGATCTGCGCGGGGTCACTAAGCCCCGAGCCCGCTGTGGGATCCGGAGGAAGAGGGCCACACGGGGGTCCCTCGGGTCAGAGCCACCGAGGTAGGAGCCTTGGAGGCCGTCCGAGTCAGGGGCCCGGCCCCCGTGGGTTTGGAAATGCCGGCGGGCAGGTCCAGCGGCGCCCGGCCGGGGGCGGGGAGCGGGGGGCGGCCGCAGCTTCTTACCTTGAAGGCCACGGGCAGGGTCTTGTTGCAACGCCAGTGCGAGGGCAGCACGGAGCACAGGAAGTTGGGGCTGTCGGTGCGGACAAGTTCAGCCGGGTGGTCAGCGATGATCTCCACCATGGTGCGGTTGTCGTGCGGCGGCCGCAACCGGGGCACCGCGGCCGCCGCGGCCGCCGCCGCCGCTGCTGCCGCCGCCGCCGCCGCCTCCTGCTGCTGCTGCTGCTGTTGCGCAGCCACCACCGGGCTCACGTCGCTCATCTTGCCGGGCTGCAGGCTGCTGGAGGGGGGGCTGAAGCGCCGGCTGGTGCTCGGATCTACGGGAATACGCATCACAACAGCCACAAGTTAGCGAAGTGGCCGGGGGAGGGGGAGGAGGGTGGAAATGAGGGGCGAGGAGGAGGAAATTGGGGGGGTGGAGGCGAGACGGGGGAAAGGGGCTGGAGGTGATGGGGCTGAGGAGGTGTGAAATCAAGTTCGATGAAGCCGACTGCCGGGCGGAGTCTGACTGGAGCCAGAGGTGGCGGTGCGGAGCAATCGGGTTGGCGGGCGGGGAGACCCGGGAGGCGCAGATCTTGCCGGAGCCTTTGGAACACCCGGGGTGGCAGCTGCGAACGGGCACCGGGATGTGTTTGGCCCGGGGAGGCGGGAGGCTTCAGTTTGCAGCAGCTTGTTGTGGGGTCCCGTGGGGCACCGCGTCCTGGGTGCGCTGGCGCCCCCTC